CTTTGCTGAACTCAGAACTTTCAGGGAATGAAGATAGTAGACTTAGAAAAGCATAAGTTTCATTGACTTCCTGGTGTATCCACTTCTCACAAGGTAGTTAGAGGATGCACATGTTCTGGGGGAATCAGAAAGAGAGTGGTGGAGGGGTGGAAATAGGATGGGCATGCACCCAAGAAGAAGAAGATGAATGTCCTCCATGTGGCAGACTCATCTTTAAGGGTCTGAGAGGCACAGATAAGCCAAAGGGGTACACGGACCATTATTTCTAAAGCAGTCAAAACCAGATGAATTATAAAGTAAAACTCTTGATAGAGTATAAAGGGAAAGATGGTGCAAAAGACATAATATTTCTTCATGGACAAAGATCTTGACTTTGACTCTAGAAGGGTGACAGGGAAGACAATTTCAGAAGTAGGCAGGAGTGTAATTATGAGCGCAAGTGTTTTTGGCAGTGCAGGGTGCTTGGGTGGAGGTGGAGGAGGAGAGCCCTTATTCTGCCATCCCACTGTGCCCTGAAAAGCAAGGGAAGGGTTTTTCTGGGGCTGCTGGATTGCACTAAACCCTCTTCCTCCTCAGGATCCCCATAATTTAAAATCACACCCTCTGCCCACTAACCAAACTTAGCAATGAAGAATAAGAAGAGAAGTAGGTAGAAAGCAAAGGTTAGAGTCAGACAGGTGCCCTCAAAGCTTTCATTAGCTCATTCTTGGGCAAGTTTCACAGAGCTGGTCTTACAACTTTTAATTTCTAAGCAGGCCCTCTTTTCCCTCCATTCAGCTGTGTTGAGTGTGAGCTACAGGACAGCAACTTTGCTCTCAGGCAGCTGCTCACCTGGGTCCACCCCTCGTTCTCTTTTGTAGATCTCCATTTCCTATTTTTGCCTAGTTCTCTGTAGAACCTGCTTCCATGGGCGTAGGCTGAATGACAATAATGGAGTCCAAGAAATGCAGTTGAAAGACCAAAGTTTACAGATAAAGTTTTATCAGAACACAGTAATGCCCACTCATTTACATATTCTCTAGCTGCTTTCATGCTACAACAGCAGAGTTTGAATAGTTGCAACAGAGATTGTATGGCACGCAAAGCTCAAAATATTTATTTTCTGGCCCTTTGCAACAGAGATTCTATGGCGTGCAAAGCTTGAAATATTTATTTTCTGGCCCTTTGCAGTGTTTACCAATCCTTGCTCTAGAGAGTTTTGTACTGGCATTTAAATGCTAGCCTTAAGTAACATATATCACTTCCACTCACAACTCACTGGCCAGAATGGTCACATGGCCCCACTCAACCATAGAGGGCCAGGAAATACATTCTACCAGGGCAATAATCAGAATATTTGGCAAACAGCACTAATGGTCACCATAAGCACCTACTCTGAGTTGAACTCAGTACTAGGTGCTGGGTATGGAAAGATGAACAAGACAAAATTGTTGATCTCAAGGAATTTAAGGAACGCCAGAATTTGGGGATTGGAGGGGGAAGGCTAAGTATAGATTCAAGTATCCTTTCCTAGAAGATATAGACTAGCTTGTCTGAATTGCTTGAGATCTCAGCTTGGTGCTAGCCAGAACTGGGGACTGGCCGGCTTGGCAAGCAGTGGGGGTGACAGATCCTCCTGATGAACATTTGTATCAATAATAGAAGGGTTGTTTAACAGAAATTCTTAAAGGAAAGATGAGATAATTTCATGTTTTGATATTCACAACATAAAGCCGGAGCTCTGCAGTGCATATTATTGCTGTTGTAATTTTGGCAAAGATGTGACTCAAATTGGCAATGTGTCTGGGAAGAGGAAATCATGTAAGGAGAGAGGGTGGGATAGGTCAGGAAACAGGTGGGGAGCCAGGTACTGGTGGCCTGGTGAGACCTGGGAGGGTGGCCCAGGAGCATTTGTCACAGAGAGACACGAGGGAAAGGAGGCTGCAGCCAGCAGAGCCTGAGAATTCTTGGAGTTGCTGGAGATGCTAAGGCCTGGGGAGGGAGTGGGAGCAGCAGGGGAGGGGTGTGTGCGTGCATGTGGCGAAGGAGAGACATTTAAACATCGTAGGAATGAAGGATAAATTTAAAATCCCTCAAGGGGAGTTGAGACAGAATGACAACGTGAGGAACATGAATCACTCTTTCTAGGGACCCACCCAGCTGTTGGCATGATTTGGAATACATTTTCTCCTCCTTACCAAGCTCATTCTGGACCCTTTATCTTCCTTCTCCCTGATCCCTTGGTCTGGCCTTGGTGGCCAAGTACCTAGTGCTGGCTATCATGTACTGGGAGGTTCAAGCTCAAAAGCATTGAGGCCTTAGGGTGTGGTGCTGGTAGGGTGAGGAAGACCAGTCCAGATGCTGAAGATGGAGAAGGGGACAAATAGAGAAGGTATTTTAGGGCTCCAGGGACGTCCGAGTCTACTGAATGCTCCCATCAGGCTTTATCACATATGTGCTAAGATCATCCTCTCATCCAGCCTTTTTGTTTCTATTTGTTATCTAAGCATAATGAGGAGGGGGGCTGGGAGAGGCATTTATGGATTCTGCTTCATGTGGTAGAGACAGTGTGATCAATATAGTGGAGAAAACCATAAGCTAGGACTTGAAATCTGAGTTCTCTCCCAGCTCTGCTTTTTATTGGCAGTATGATCCTGGGTGGGGCTCTCTACTTTTTTGGACCTCAGCATCCATAAATTGATATGATTAGATCATTAAGATTCCTAACCATTGAAATAGTCTTTGTTTTTGTGACTTGCAATTTGACTTGCAGTCCAACCCAGGGAAGGCGGAGTGGGAGATGTGTCTGGAGGGCAGTGTTCTGGGAGGATGCCACCCTGGGCGCCCAGCACAGCTCCCAACATGTAGTGGGTGCTCAACCATCCAACACTGGTTGAATGATCTGGAGGCCAGGGTTCCTCTGAGCGTGTAGAGCATGGGACACTTCTTAGATGCCACTTGTGGTCACTAAGATGTGTAGTTGGGAGGAATTCTGGTTTTGGGCTCCTGGCTAGGAGGGAGGCAATAAGCAGGTATCTTGAAAAGGTGGTAAGTTCAGGCCCTCTCAAGCCACAGGGACTGTCCCCCCAGTACTTAGACCTGCTATGGGGACTAGCAATGTGTGAGTAACTTTTACGTCTCTCATTAAGTTAAACCTTTGCTAATTGGAGCATGTCAAGATCTAGTACCAGCCACCCACCTGGACTGCTGTTTTTACTTGGGCAGGACCATGAGGCATAAAACAGGGAAAACACCTCAATGGCTTTGGACTCAACCTTTAGGGGTATAGTAGTGGAGGAGAGGTACACAAAGGAGGAGAGAGGAGTGACCAGGGAGGCAGGAGGAATCCTTTGGTTTCCCTAAATCCTCCCTCATGCATCTGCTCTTCCTTTTGCCTGTATTCTGTTCCTAAACTGGCAAGCTCTGTTTAACCCAGCTCCAGGGTCCTTTCCTTCACAAAGCCCTCCTGACCACCCCCAGCTGGGCTAGGTGCCCCTCTTTTCTTTCTTTTTTTGGGACAGAGGCTGGGCTGGAGTATACTGGTGTGATTTCGGCTCAGTGCAACCTCTGCCCACAGGGTTCAAGTGATTCTCCTGCCTCAGCCTCCTGAGTAGCTGGGATTACAGGCATGCGCCACCACACCTGGCTAATTTTTGTATTTTTAGTAGAGACAAGGTTTCACCATGTTGGCCAGGCTGGTCTCGAACCCCTGACCTCAAGTGATCCGGTCGCCTTGGTCTCCCAAAGTGCTGGGATTATAGGCGTGAGCCACTGTGCCCAGCTAGGTGCGACTGTTATGAGCTCCTCTGGCAATCAGGCCCATGCCAATCATAGCACATCCTGTCATGTGGTCATAGTCGATGTTCTTCCTGTCTCTCCCATGAGGATGATGTGGACTAAGTCCAGCTCATTTGTTGTGCCCAGTGCCTGGCACAATGCCTGGCACATGGTAAGTTCTCAGTCAACGCTGATTGAATGCGTATGTCATTCAGAGGCCAATCTGGTCCTATCCTCCTTGGCATGGAAAAGGAGATTGACGATGCCAAGGGGAGCAGTAGGGCATCTGAGTCACACATGGCCCCAGATCCTGAGGCAGACACAGGTATTAAAAAAGGAGGAAGGAATCTGCATACAGGACCCAGTTCTCAAGAAGAGTCCTTCTTAGGCTGGGCTCAGAGGCTCATGCCTGTAATCCAAGCACTTCGGGAGGCTGAGTCAGGAGGATCGCTTGAGCCCAGGAGTTGAGACCAGTCTAGGCAACATGGGGAAACGACATCTCTACAAAAAATAAAAAATTTGCTGAATGTGGTGGCATGTGCCTGTGGTCCCAGTTACTCAGGAGGCTGAGACAGGAGGATCACCTGACCCTCGGAGGTTGATGCTGCAGTGAGCCGTGATTGCGCCATTGCACTCCAGCCTGGGTGATGGATCCTATCTCAAAAAAAAAAAAAAAAAAAAAAAAAAAAGGAGACCACCTTGTGGCTTGGTCCCCCAGGAGCTCGCTTGGGAGGCAGGGCAGCAGATGGTGGGTGGGAGTCCCCCAAGAGTGGGCCCTGGGGAAGGGGCTAGAGGGATTCTTTCACCAAAAATGTGAGGGAACAGCCAGCTAGCTGTCCGAGGTGGGGCTGAGATGTGCGGCCCTCTGAGTTCTCCTCTCCTTATTGCAGCACCTTGAAACCTTATCACCGGGGCATACCATTATTTCTTTAACCTCTGTCTTCTGCAGTAGACTGTAAGTTTATGAGAGCAAGAATCCAGTCCACTTTGTTAAAAATGTGGACACCTGGCGCCCAGCCTGGTCCACTGCGGATGCTCCTGATTTCAACATCATTTATTGAGCTCCACTGTGTGCCAGTTTGTGGGTCGGGCCCGGGATGTAGCACTGAGCAAGCCAGAAGCCTTGGCCTGGAGGGCAATGCCATTAACCTCTTTCTTTCTTTTCTCTATTTCCCTGTGACCTTGGCCCCATTCTCCCTCCCTCCCTCCCTTCCACTCCTGTCTCTGCCCTCTCCCTCCCACAGAGCAATGTTCTGTGATGGTGCCCGAGATGCGTGGACTGAGCCCAGACCGCAGGCTGCCCGAGGCCGCCCCGTGCCCGGCTGCGAGGAGCCCTGAGCCCGGGTCCGCGGGCCGCCGCCGCCGCCACGTCCTGGCCCTGCCGGAGGAAGAGGCATGGCGGCCCCAGCAGTGCGCTCTGCTCGAGGCCGACGCCTCGGACGAGGTGGGCATGCTGCCGGCCTCCCCGCGCGCCGCCTCTGGCTTCGACAACTTCTTCCCGGTGCAGGAGGGCGAGGGCCCGGGCTGGGAGGGCGCCGTGGCACTGGAGGCGGGCTCCAGCCCTTTCCTCCCGGTGAGCCCCGAGGTCATGAAGCGGCGGCGCGGGGGTCTCATCGAGCAGCGCGACATCATCAAGGCCCACGAGGCGCACAAGATGCAGAGCACCCCGCAGGCCCGGCGCAAGGAATGGGAGTGAGTATGGTGGGGATGCGGGGGGCGGGCATGGCTGGCTGGGCCTGGGGTCGGGGTGAGGTCCTGGAGCGGATGGGCCCCCTGAGGCCGCCCTGGAGGGTCGGGAGATGCTTTCAGCTGTGCTGCGACTAATGAGGGACTGGATCCTCTGGGTGAGGTCCTTGTGGTCAGCCCCAGATCACACCACCCGGCTGTAGGCCTCCTCCAGCCTCACTGAGGCGTTCGGCTGTCAGATGTGGGTGAATCTGGCTTGCCCCCAAGGCTCACTTGTTTCACTAAAAGCCTGTGGAGAAAGAACTGGGGTCTGTTTCATTCTCTGAGCTTTCCTGAAAGCCAGGGAGAATCCTTCACAACGTGGATCAACTATTTCATCTTTCCTTCAGGAACCGCAGCTAACCCTGCCTTTTTAATATCCTCCTTGGATGAGTGATTACATTTTGGGCACATCTCCAGTGGATGGAAGAAAATGACCAAGATCTGTGTGGCCACTCCTGGCTTCATTTCTGCTCTGTTTGTGTAGGGCAAAAGGCCGACTTTAATTCACACCTGTTGAGAATTTTGGCTTTTTCTCCTCAGGAGTCCTAAATTAAAGGAAGATGGTATTTCACTTAATTCTCGGTTGCCCCGGGTTTACGCTCCATAGAAGGACTTTGCTTTGCCCTCTGGATGCAGTTTATTCTGCATGCTGGCATGCCCTGTGGTCTGTATGTCTTTATCTCTTCTTGCTTTAGATTGTTGACTTGCTAGATGTCATCAAGTGCAAAGAGACTAGTCACAGGTGTATTTTGATGGTGGTGGTCGTGGTGGGATTTACCTACTTGGTTTCAGTGAATGTTCTGGATGATGCACGTAGGGGCAAATGAGCTGATCTCTGTTTCATAAGGATGTTAATGTTTGTTAGTTCATTCATTCGTTCAGTGAGTCCGAATGTATGCCGGGCTCCTGGGATTCAGAGAGGAGCTGGGCATAGGCAGTATTCAACAAATCTCTTAGTTGTTCATCTCTCAGCATTATTAGTGTTTAGAGCCTTGCATACCTGTCTTTAAGTGCCAGACAACATTCCAAGCACCTTACATATATCCACTCATGTTAATCTTTACCATAACTATGAGGTAGGTACAGTTATTAGCCACATGTAACCAATGAGGCACAGAGAAGTTAAGTGACTTTCTCAAGGTCACTTGGATAACAACAACATTGTTACTGTGATTTGATATTAATTAGTGATTTGAACCCTGGCAGTCTGGTTATGGAATCCATGCCTTTAACCATGATGGCACAGTGCCTTTCATTCTAACTCTCAAAGTATTTCTCTCAACAACCTATTGAGATGCCATGGTAAGAGCAGTAGTGTAGGGGTTTGGAGACTTGGGTCTAATTCCTAGGGTGACCTAATTAGTGGTGTGATCTTGAGTAAGTCACCTCATCATGACTTTGAAAAACAAGCAGAAGGGAGTAGACGGCCTTTAAATACTACGCAGCTCTGATAGCTGGTCTTTCTTCATATTTAGAAGTTTATTTTTTAATGCACCTCCATCTTATCTTTCTAAAAGGACCCTGAACAACTTGAGGGCAGAGACTGTCATACACATTGTTCATGTCACTCAATGCCTATCATCTGGCCTAACCCAAGAAATCCCACAATACTCAATGAAAAACTAACTTTACCATGACTAGCAATGTGGAAATAACTTTTATGTCTTTCACTAAGTTAAACTTGTACTAATTGGAGAACGTCAAGATCTAGTAGCAGCCACCTACCTGGGGTGCCAGCAGGGATGATTGGGAGACTGTTTTCACTTGGGCAGGTCCATGAAGAGGTGAACCAGGGAACATACATCAGTGGCCTTGGGGAATGTCGGCCTTTAGGGGTGTGGCAGTGGAAGAGGAGCACATGAAGGAGGTGAGAAAGAGTGGAAGGAGGTGGGAGGGTAACCAGAGGGTAAAGGGACAAAGAAGTGAGGAAAATGGTGTGTTCAGAAGGAAGGTCATCATCTCCATAGAATGTTGCTGAGAGGCCAAATAAAATGACGATAGAGAAGGAAACACTGGCTTTGGCAACACAGAGATGACCTGAATGGGAGTAGTTTCCGTAGGGCAATGGGGTCAGTAGCCCAGTTGAAGTGGGTTGAAGAGAAAATGGGAAGTGATAGAGACAGTGATGTTGCCCCATCCTTCTCTGCTCCCCAACACTCACAACCTCCTCGTGGCTTTTCCCCTCACCACCCAAACTCCTTAGCCTCATGGCTCTGTATGTGCCTTAATTTGATCTCCACACCCCTCCCCAGCTCTTCAAACCCTAATGTTACTGAGAAAAGAGGGATTGCTGCTTGAGGTACTAGAAGCCAATACTATAGCATTGGGTTTTTGAGAAGAGAAGCTTTTTATTGCATGTCGACTCACAAGGAGACAGGATGTCAAGCCCAAATCTGTCTCTCTGTCCTTGCTTCAAGGCCATATTTTCATTAGAAAATGTTCAAGGGATTAGTAGGTGATCGGTGGAGGGAAAGGGGAGGTCTGGAAAGTCCTTGGACATGCTCAGTTATCTCTTCATGCTACCTCATGGGTTGCATGTGAAAATTCTTAAGGACTTAATATGAAACACATCGTGGAAGTTCAGCTGTGACGTCAGCAAGCTTGTTCTGCACAGACTCCAGTAGGCCAGGCCATCTTAGTTCCAACTAATGTCAGCCAGTTTTTTCTTGATCTCACATTGCAGGGAATTTCAGCATTTCTGCAAGTTGTTTCTTTTCTTATCTGCCATTCTGCAAGCTCAAGAATATCTGTTAGTCATTGTTTTCTTACTCATTGGGGCACAGTTTCAGCTTCAGCTTTTCAGCAGGTTGTTTCTTTTCTTATCTGCTATCCTGTAAGCTCAAGAATGTAGTCATTGGCCTCTTTAACTCTTTGGGGGCATGGATTCACTAATATACTGTCTGGCACTCATGTTCCATCATCAGCAAAATCCTGTTCATCCTCCTCGCCTTCTCTGGAAGTCCCTTCTTCCACGCTGCCTTGGACTCTGGAGTCTAGAGAAGCAACTTGTTTCTCACTGTTGCTTCCAGACCATTACTCCCCTCTCCTGTCCTAAAAATGCCAGCTGTGGAGTGCATGTCATCAGATAATACCACCTACTACCCCTCGTTGCCACCATCTACAGACTACTGAGTCACTTGCTTCATTCCAGGAAGAATGGGTTAGGCCTGGGTTTACTGCCTCGCTTCCCCACGTCTTCAGCTGCCAGCAGTTCTTGGTGATTTCAGTATCCACATAGCGGACCCTTCCTGCACCCTGACCTCTTGTTTCCCTAGCCCCTTCTGTTTGGTGACTTCGCCTTCTTGCTTCCTGCTGACCGCTCACCTCCATGGTCTGCCTGGACCTTGTCATAACTGCATTGCTCCATAATCTCGGTTTCAAGCATCCCATTGCGTGATCACTCCCTCTTTTCTCTCCACTTCACTCCCTCTAGTGCTCAATTCCCAAGATTCTTTAATCTTGCTACATCCACAAGACATTGATCCAATTACCTTTTCACTATTCCCTTCCCTAGTCATGTCACCATTTCCCATCTTATCAAACTGAATTCCATTGTAAGCACCAAACATATTTTCCAGATAAAATAGCGACCTTTCAGTTGAGGTCTCCTCCTGCCTCTCAATCTCTTTCTTTTACCAACTTCTAAGATAGAATGAATCATCCACAAAGGGCAAGAATGCTGGAGCTCAAGTTGGTTTCTAGTGCACTTCATGCTTTGCCATCATTGTAATCTCCTTATTTTCACCCTCACCTTTGTTGTCCCTCTGTTGCTTTGTTATACTTTGTCTGGCAAAACTTCAGCCCTGCTAAATCCCACTTGCCCCATTCTTCATGTACACATGGGCAGGTGACCATGGCTATAGAAAAAGTCACAACCACGCCGATTGACCTCACTGTGAATTGATGACTACTACCTCCATTTGGCCCTTAGTCCTGCCCAGAAATCTTACTACTTTTCCCTTTTCTATTCACTCTCACCCTCCTCTACAGATTGTTTCACATGCTTTTCCTTTAACTCTCAAATCCCATCATTTCCTGCTAGCTCGCTCCTAGCTCATGACTACAATTGCCTTCCTACTTCACTGGGAAAATAGCAGCAATCAGGAGAGGCATGTACAGGCTGCATCCAATGCACTGACCACCTGCTGCATCTGGGCCCTGGTGCCATGCCTTTACCTTCTGTTAATGTGGACTGACCACCCCTCAAGTTCCATGTGGAGTCTGGTGCCCATGTAGAGCAAAATGAGCCCCTTTGTTTATTCTCTCTCCATTTTTTTTTTCTTACATGTTTCTCTGGAACCCATTCCAATCAGGTCTTTGTCCCAGGCAAACAAACAGCTGTTGACATGGTGACATTGGCCTCCTCAAGGCAGAATCCAATGGGTGTTCCTTCGTGTCCATCTTCCTTGACCTAGCAGTATCATTTGATCACTTCCTCTTTCTTGAAACTCTTTGGTCCTTATTTTTAATATTTTTTTAGAGACAGGATTTTGCTATGTTGCCCAGACTTATCTCAAATTCTTGGCCTCAAGTAATCCTCCTGCCTCAGCCTCCTGAGCTAGGAGTACAAGTGAAAGTGTTTTGTCACATGGCTTTTATGATACACACTCTTGGTTCTCCTGTGTTGCTGGTTGCTCCTCAATCTCTTGCTAGTTTCCATTTCCTTTTCCCAACCCTTACTAAACATTGGATGTCCCAGGGTTCAGTCCTCAGCCTGTTCTCTTCTCACCAGTGCTAACTTCCTAGTGCTCTTGTCCAGTCCCAGACCTTTGGTTAGTATCATATACAGCTGACCTCTAAATTTCTATCTGTACTCAGGACCTCTTCCCTGAATTTTAGATACCACCCACTTATTCACCATCTTTACATCCATCGGCATCTCAAGCTGAACATGTGTAACATCAAAATATTGATTTCTCTCCAAAACTGCTTCTCTTGTAGTTTTCTCTTTCATTAAACCTACA